AAAGTGTTGTCTTCCTACCTTCACTGCAAACTAATACCCAGGGGCTGAGGTTTTAACTCAGAAAGGGCTTTTCTGAGTCTCCTCCATCTGCAGCAACCAGTTTTAGTGATGCCAAAGTCCAGGGACGGGGCAGACCTTTCAGCTCTGTCTTCATGTTGATTTAAACAATTGAGAGAACTTTTGGTCTGCAAGTTAACTAATGATATTTGTCACGCTAGAAGCCTCCCTCAGAACCTAGGCCACTGTTAAAACATCATGGACTGTAGAAGTCAGTTTTCTGAACTGGGGTCCCAAATAGAAAAGGAGTACTTGTGGCACCTTAGAGACTAACCAATTTATTTGAGCATAAGCTTTCGTGAGCTACAGCTCACTTTTGCATCCGATGAAGTGAGCTGTAGCTCACGAAAGCTTATGCTCAAATAAATTGGTTAGTCTCTAAAGTGCCACAAGTCCTCCTTTTCTTTTTGAGAACACAGACTAACACGGCTGCTACTCTGAAATGGGGTCCCAAATGGTTGTCTTGTATGGCATAACTTTACCAAAACTTCTGCCACCATGCATCACCTCTGTAACCTTTAATTAAACCCTTGATCCGTGGGAAGGGCTGATCTTTAGCACCTTGTGAAACCCAAGAGCGAGAAGGGGGGAAGCAGAATAAGTTACAGGGATTTTAATAGGGCATCCAGAGGTTTCTCCGTTAAATATACTCCTCCTCAATACCAACAAGCTGCTGCAATGGGATGGATTCATGATCAAGGGCTTCTATGATCAAGACATCCTGAAGGCTGTCTATCCTTTACACTCGATGCCATGAAGCAAAGCCTGCTGGGGAAGGCTCTGCATGTCAAGGAACAGGGTGGTGCAGCTACAGTAACACCCAGCCAGCACAGCGCCTGCCAGTTTCAAAATGGGAGACAGGGAGAACAGAGGAGCAGAACAAGCAGAGGATGGAGCAGAACAGTTGATTGGATTTCCTGGTAAATATGTTCTCTCTTCCCCACCCCACCCCACGGATTTCACCAGTATTTCAACCTAAAGCCCAGATCTTATTTATCCAGAAGGGGAGCCTCAGACAAGCCAGAAGTGAAGAGAGAGAAGCTCTATGCAACTAAGTCAAGAGACGACACAGAAGCCCTGTGGCAAGGCGATCGAGGAAGTCGTGTTTTTAAAAAAGGCAACCACAACTCAGGAAACTCGCCTCTCAGTAGGGAGGAAAAGGGTTTGGCGACTAAAGCCGGCCACAGGAGATCACCGACAACGTGTGCGCCCTGGGGCAAGTCCCCAAACTGCTCTATGCCTCCGATGGCTGCAGAGAAATGAGAAGGGAGAAGTCTGGATTTCGCACGAGGCACCGCCTAGGCTGCATGGAAATTCGTGGCCTTCCAGGGGACAGCGGGGCATTGCCCCAGGGGATTGGGATTTAGGCCGCTCTTGGCGGGGGACGCTCTGAAGTCACGGTCTGAGCCAGCAACCTCTTGAGTCACGCAGTGGTGAAAAGAAAAAAAACGCCCAACCCACGGCATTTTTGTACCTCGCCGAGTTCGGGATTGTTGCAGTTTAAAGCGCCAGTGAAACCTGCCTTGCAGCAGGGAGAGCTCGGCTCTTCCCAACCAGCCCTTTCGAAACCTGGAAGCTGGAGACCCTTTGCAAGGCGAGGAAGAGTTTAGCCACCCCCGTGTAAACAAAACGCGTCTTGGGTTGCAAGGGGACACCCACGGGAACGTGCTGTACCGCGGCCCCCCTCTCTAACAATACCCAGCTCGGGGGAAATCCCCGGCAAGCGTTTCACGTGCCCTTCGCTGACTCAGCCCGGCAAACCCAGGCTCCGCTCCTCCTCTGCTAGCCCTGGGAAGGGAAGGGGTGGGGCGAGGGGGGCAGAGGGCTTCCTTTGTTGCTGCTGTTTCAGGTGCGCGTCCCCCTGCCGGTCCCCGCGCCAGCCGCTCCTTGCTTTGGCCATTGCGCGCTTCTCCCCTGCAGACAGACGCAGAGGCTGAGCAGAGCCCCGCGCGCTCCCTTTACCTGGTCCCGGCGAGCCGAGTCCCGAACCCCTGGGGCAGGAGAGCGAGTCCCACCTTCCCTCCGGCAGAGCGGCCGCCGCAGTGAGACCCGGCAGCGCGAGCCCTGCTCTGCAGCCGCTGCTCCAGACCCCTCCCAGTCCCCGCAGCTCCAGCCAGCAGCTGCTCCAAGGCTTAACTGTTTGAATAAACTCTGATCCTTCTCTCCCATAACCCAGAGACCCCTAGTGGGCAGAGGGACTATAACTGCCTAGTTTCAGAGTAGCAGCCGTGTTACCCTGTAGCCGCAAAAGGAAAAGGAGGACTTGGGGCCCCTTAGAGACTAACCAATTTATTTGAGCATGAGCTTTCCTGAGCTACAGCCCACTTCATCGGGTGCAGCCTACTGTGATCTGGAGGCAGAGCAGCTCGGTGTAAGCTTGAGAACTTGTCTCTCTCACCAACAGAAGTTGGGCCAATAAAAGCTATAACCTCACCCACCTTGTCTCTCTAATAGCCTAGTTTCAAAGTAACAGCCCTGTTAGCCTGTATTCGCAAAAAGAAAAGGAGGACTTGTGGCACCTTAGAGACTGACCAATTTATTTGAGCATAAGCTTTCGTGAGCTACAGCTCACTTCATCGGACTCACATGGCTGCAACAACACTGCACTGAGCACCACAGAGACAGTGAATCCCGAGTCAGCGAATAAGAGCATAAGAAAGGCCCTACTGGCTCAGACCAAAGGTCCATCTAGCCCAGCAGCCTGTCTTCCCATAGTGGCCAAAGCCAGGTGCCCCAGAGGGAGTGAACCTAACCAGGTAATAATCAAATAAGACACACCCCCTCTTTCTGTTTTAATTTTAACTTATTTTTTTATTCAAAAGACTAAGGCAAACTGGTCATTGAAAGTTACCAGCTACTTCAGCCTCAAGAAAAGTCAGCTGTACAACAAAACATTTGTTCTGAGTTGTGTGTGTGTCCACATGTGTACCTGTACACACTTTTCTGCCACATTCCTAAGTGGCCAGTACACTTTGAGGATCAGACTTAACCGTCCAAACAGCTGGAGAAGGGAGGGGCAGGAGGAGATAAAGAAGAGATGGGAGGAAAATGCTTAGCCTGTGATTTTGGACACACGTTGACGGCAGTTGTGGGTGCCCAATTGGAGCCGTCAGCATTCAGCACTTCAGAAAAGTTTCTGAACCCTGTAAGAACCTGATAACCTATATACTCCCGTGTGCAATATTGCCAGCTGCAGGAGCTCAAATGTCATGAGTCAGGCCCCCAAAATTGAGGGTTGTTTTTTATTGTTTTTAAAGAGATAGATTGTGGTTTTGGGTCTGTCCAGTGACCTTCCCCATAGGCCTGGCAAGAACAGTATTGCCAACTCTCCCAAAGTTTATAGAGTAACAATTTTTACACATATACACACCCACTCACCCCACAGGAGTTCTCCCTGTGTGCCTGTAGGGCTCCTTACTTCTCCCCAAGTCCCAAGATTCCAGTTAATTCTGCACCCCAAGACTTATTCACCCCATGTGACTCTCTGTACCTCAGGGGGACACCCTACACCCCCATGTTCATCTTTATAAAATGATTATGTGGTATCCAATGCAAAGTTTGTCATGTTGGGTGTCTTCAGAAGGCTCATAATGCACTGAGCATGGTTTTTATAGTAACTGTTACAGTAAGGTTATAATTTCATGTATATAGTTATGAGGCTGAAAATGTATCCTCCTGGCTTAAAGTAAGCCCATGCAAAAACTCTCCAAGAACAGGGAGGCAGTTCACACCTCGTCAGGGTATGGATGGGACAAACCTAGCTCAGCCTCACAGGAACAATGGACACTGGCTTAGGCAGCAACAAAAGAATCGGTTAGACCCTCGAGGGAGTCACCCTCTTCCTTTGGTCAGTTTGGGACTGCAATCAGGTAATGCTCACCTGCCTCTGGGGGGCGGCATGGCACACGCGCAAAGCCAGGAGGAAAGAAAGGACACGATAAAAGGGAGAGATTTTGCTATACTCTCTCTCTCTCCCACCTACATCTACAGACACCACCACCAAGGGACTGAAACGCTGATCAAAGGGGAGAGCCTGACTGAAAAGTAACCAGCCAGCCTGTGATTAGAAGCATCTAAGTTTTTAGGGACATTGAAAGTGTTAAGAGCAACTTAGAATGCTTTTTGCTTTTATTTCATTTGTCCAAATCTGACTTGTTACGCTTTGACTTATAATCACTTAAAATCTATCCTTAAAGTTAATAAATCTGTTTGTTTATTCTATCTGAAGCAGCGCCTTTGGTTTGAAGTGCGTCAGAGGCTCCCTTTAGTAGAACAAGCCTGGTACATATCAGTTTCTTTGTTAACCTGACAAACTTATATAAGCTTGCAGCATCCATACCTAGACACTGCAAGACAGAAGTTCCTTGGGTTGTGTCTGGGACCGGGGATATTGGCTAGTGTCATTCACTTGCAAGTAGCTGGGAGCAGCTTACATGCCAGAGACTGTGCATGAACAGCCCAGGAGTGGGGGTTCTCACAGCAGAGCAAGGCGGGCTCCCAGCATCAAAAATTGGAGTGACCTAGCAGATCATCGGTCCAGATAAAATGAGAGGGGAACCTCACACCCCAGCAGCCCCCACACCAATGCTGGCTATCCCCATCCTTCAGTGTAGCTCTGCTTCTCCAAGGGATCTTCACCAACTCCCAGCTCTTTGGGGTAGGGGGTCCTGCTGCAATTGCACCCCTTCTCTCCCTTCCTAGGCTTGTGGCTGCCAACTTCCTGTATTTTATTGGGAGTCTTATGCTATTCGGTGCTTTTCTTAAAACCCCAGCTCCTAAAGTCATGGGATTCCATGAGAATCTCACCTTTCATTTAAAAAAAAAAAAAAAAAAGCACAAAACCAATGAGGAGTCCTTGTGGCTCCTTAGAGGCTAAGAAATTTATTTAGGCATAAGCTTTTGTGGGCTATCACCCACTTCATGAGATGCATGGAGTGGAACATACAGTAGGCGGGAATAAATACACAGCACATGAAAAGATGGGAGTTCCCTTACCAAGTGGTTTCTAGCCCTCTCAGTTAGATAGAAAAGATTGAAGAGGTTACTCAAGTGCCCCCTAAAGGCTAAAAACCAGAAGAACAAAGCAAGCAAGCAAAACAGTTTCATGATTTCTTTTATTTTTTAAAAAGGCATGCATGACTTTGGGCAGGGGCGGGGGGACCCTAAAGCATGATTTTTGCATGCTTGGGGTTGCCAATACTGTAAAGGCATTGTTGTCATACATACAAGTTACAGCACCATCCCCCTTTGCATCACATCAGCAAAATTAATAGTGCCTAGCCAAAGGTTGTGCCCTTCTCGAGACTCTAGTCGCAGGTATACTTTTTGTTTAAGAGACACTCACGAAGGAGGTTTCTACAGTGCAGCCTAGAAATTTTGTCAGACTAGTAGATTGCCTCATCCCTCCATTATTTCCCATAAGCTTTAACTTAAATGCCTCAGCATTAGGACATGCCTCCATACAAGGAACACCTCCTATCTGGATCTCCACCTCTGAGTCAGAATAGAGGTATCCCTCCTCCCAGCAAGGAGTGGAATAAATTCATACTACACTTGACCTAAGGCAATGGCCCAAGTCAGCTTATCAAGACCTACCTAGATTTGTAAAAGAATAAATCCAGTTGGTTTGCTTCATTGCTATTCATTCTTCAACATATAGTATCTCCATGGGATGATATTTATTTGGAAGACTGGCTGCCAGCCAGACACTAGACCAGCCCTTGGTGACTGAGGGTGGCAGCCTTGCACATTAGGGTCTTAGTGGTCTACAGGAGAGAAAAGAGGGAGCCTTCTCCATGCACAGATCAAAGGGGTAGTAAAATGTAAGGAAGAAGTGATGACTGGGAAGGAAGAGGCAGATTTTAAGTGTACACGCACTTGTTAAAGTAAGGGGGGAGAACTGAGGAAGAGTTCCTTGTCCTCTCCCTGGCTTGGGGGAGCCAGGTTCACCTCCTTTCCTGATTCAGGTAGAGTCCCCTTCCTGTCCAACCTATTGGAATCACTGTGTATGTGACAGGAAGAAAAGAACCGTCCTCGATTTCTTTCAGATCAGCACTAGGTGGAAGGGGGAGAGAAGGAGGAGGAGCAGGAGGGCAGGGAAAGAGTGTTGAAATAAAGCAGAGAGCACTGTGGAAGGAGGTCAGAGTCTGGGGCCAGAGCAGAAGTGAGCATGAAATGAAGAAATTGAAGGAGAAGGGAAGAGTGGGGGAATAATGAATAAATAAATGGCTACACTAGGTCCAGCTGGAAAGAGGAGCACACAGATATTTCAGTACTTGGGTAAGGTCAGATCCAGTCCAGTTTGGAGGTAGTCATGATACTTGAATACAGCAGACTGAACAGGTAGTGATAATACACCCTCTGTACATGCTTAGGACAAGGCAGTGAGGAGACAACCTAGTCTCACACCAGACTCCCCTAAGGCAGTAACCACATGGTTCAGTCTCGACACTGGGGACATAGGAGTTGTGCCTAGTTCTGGGCCAGTTGAACATTCTCCCCTAGGTTTGGGGTAGCACATTGATGTCATTAGTTGCGGGGGTAAGACCACCATGACGCCTCTCACATAAGGCATTTCTGTTCTCTGCCTGCCTTGCATCAGGACTGCCCTTCTCACTGCTCCCCTGCTGTAGGATTGTGGAAATACCAGTTTTCTGCAAGGGCCTCCCTTCCTCCAAATCCTATTAGTGGTTGTATTATGGGAGCAATTGAGATTAGGGCCCCATTGTACAAGGCACTTATCTAAGTAGACAAAAAAAAAGAAGAATTATCCCTACTTTATGGGGGAGGAACTAAGGCCCAGATCCTCAAGGGAGGGAGGCGCCTAAATGCCTTTGAGGATCTGGGCCTAAATGACTCGTTCAAGATAACACAATGAAGCCAGTATCCAGGCCATACCTAGGGAGGTGTGGGATCCAGGGCAGAAATGATAATTTGTCACTTCTGGGACCAATCACACTGGTGGCCCATGGGGCCCCCCCCAAAACAGGGGGCCCAGAGCAGTCACCCCAATTTGCAGTACCCAAGGGACTGCTCTGCCTGTATCAGAATCAGGACTAAAACCACATCTCCTGTGGCTAAGACACTAGACCAGTGCAGAAGACCATTTTTCTCTAAATCATACAAACCAGAGCTGGATTCCTTATTACAATCTACTGCATAAATAGGAATCACAAGAGCCAGATAGTCTAATAAACCTGTATTTCATACACCAAAAAGCGTATACAAATCACCAGTCTGAATAAATATTCTTTAGCAGCAATACACAAACCAAGTGCACCAAGTGAAGCCTGTAGCAGAGAACCCAGTCTCGGTGAGCCAGACCTCACCCCTCATTGCAAGGCTCAGCTGCAGCTGGAGGGGAGCTAGCAGGGGGAAGCTCTCTTTCTACTTGCAGACTTTTTGTTGGGTTTCTTGATCAGAAGCGGCTTCTCAATTCTGGGCGGGACACCTCCTTGTGGAATAGTCACCTGGTTGAAGAGTTTATGCAGTTCGTCGTCACACTTAATGCCCAGCAGGATGTGCCTTGGCATGATGCGGTGGTAGCCCTTTGCCTGGGTCACGTACCCTGCTGCTTCCAGCACTTCGGCACTCAGGTACTGTAGCACAGAGGCCAGGTAGACTGCAGCACTGGGGCTTATTCTCACGGCATAGTGCCCCTTCTTCAGGTACCGATGGACACGGCTCACGGGGAATTGCAAGCCAGCCCTCTTTGACTGGGATCTTGAAGACCAGGGCTTTGCCTTCCTCTTGCCGCGTCCAGACATTCTGTCACTAGGCTACAAGACAGAGGGAACTGTCACCCACAGCTGCCCTGGCCAGGAGACTTGCGAGCACGTGTGTTAAGCTAGATAGAAGCCCCAGTAGGAACAAACCAGCATTCCAACACTCTAAACACGGTGAAAGGGGTAGCCAAGGACAAAGTAGCAGCACAGTTACGATTGCTCTTTACCTTGGAAGCTGGAAAAATGTTGTACACCATGTTGGTCACAACTCGTTGTAGCCTGTGCAATAAATGAGAGCCTAGGTCAATAGCACAGGAAGTTAAAGGGTAAGCGTCCTGGGCAGTAGCTTGCATTAGAGAAGTTTTGGTGTCCAAGGCTGGGTGCCAGCTATTGGTCCAATATGTGAAGGAACAGATATTGCTCCTCTGGTCTGTGCCCTTTGCAGAGGAGAACTAGTTTAATCTGCCCCCACCCTTCTTTTTCACAGCTTCTCTGAACACCTACCGCACCACTCTCCTGTAGAGGAGCCCAGCTAGGTTGTGACGTTCATACTTTGAAGGCCTTCCCCTTTGCTGGGGACAGTTTCCCATGTGGCTGAGCAAACAGGCTATCAGCAGGGACAACAAAGCCACAGCGGTGGAAGAGTCTGCTCAGAAAACTGAGGGGTTAGGCTCTTCCTGTAGATTTTATCTGTTTTTCTCCTTCCCCCATGAGCCAAGAGCCTACATCCCTCCCCATCCCAGATCCATACTAGCCAGACAAGCCATATTTAAGGCTATTTCAGACTCACAGCTCTTGGCAAGTTGTAGACTGGGCCTTCCAGTGCTTTTTGCTGACCCATCTGGGGTAGGGGGGGCTTTTCCATTACAGCAGATGGCCTGAGAAGAGGTACCCCTGCCCTGTGGTCTCTCTTTATCAGTAGCCTAATTTTGCTATGGAAGAGGGACAGATGCTTCAGGGGTTTCAGCTGCTGCACCCAGCAATGAGCAAGGTAGAACCACACCAAGGCTCATTTGTGACACCTGGGGGTGCCACTCTCTTTACACTGCCTTGGAGCAGAGCTCCAGACCTATGTTTGGGGCTCTCACTTTGCCAGAGGTAGACATTAGGAGCCACTAATCAGCTTAACACCTGTTGGAGGGGGCACCATGAGACTGAATATTAAAAACCACGGTCTCACCCTACACCTTGGCATTTGAAAGCCCCCAGGGCCTTGCTGATATGACATCTGCTGTAGTGACAGAGAGACCCCTAGTACATGGGGAACTAGTTATAGGATAAAGATGGGTAACAATTTCTGTGTTTGGCGGGGGGACCTCTGTGAAGGCCTATGTTAAGCCAGGGAGCATACTCAGTATGAACCAAGGTGAAAATTTCAGGTTTGTATGGATTTGATGACCTCACTCCGAGCACTCATAAGCAGAGCTGAGAATTACAGGCTATTAGAGGCATTGCCTATACAGAGCTCACTGGGTCCAAAGAGAATTAATTGAAGGTAGACAGACAGACAGAGCCAAGCCACTTATTTAGGCACTCAACATAAGAGCATAAGTCTGAAATGCAGACTCAGTGCAAGATAGCTGGTCAGTTAGCAAGCACTTAGTACCATCTCTCCAGCCACCATACAGACTCACCTTTACGCATACCACACTTCACTTTGACACTAGTGAACCAGTGTAAGTTCTGTCTGACCCAGGAGACTTATGCTAACAGCCTAAACTCATGCTAGAGAGAGACAGCCATATCCCAAGTCAAAGTTTAGAGAAGAATGCTTTGCCTGCCCCCTTTGGCAACAAAGAATATTATAGCAATCCACAGCAGTTGCTGTCCCCCTTACACATCTTTTTCTTTAGGTCTTTCCTGTTACTTATTAAATCCCTCCCAACATCATACTACCCCAGGACAGAAATCCTCTCCCCAGAGAGCACAATTCCTTCATACAAAAGAAAAGAATAAGCCAATATATCACCTCTAAGGTTTTCACACCATTTCCTCCTAGCAGCCTGTTTCTGAGCCAACAAATATTTCAAGTAGTAGCCTGCAGCTGGTCCTTTTTAACTTTCTCACCAGTAAGAGCCTCATTAGCACCACTTCCATAATACTTACTTCTAAAACCAGCACCTGGATTACTGACTATCCATTCATCCCCCACAACTCTAGGAGAGGTAAAGGGAGATGGTAAGTAGAGGAAAACATTAAAAATCCCAGACTGAGCTGGTCAATTTGCTGATTAGGAAAGAAGAAGTTATCAGTGGTTTGCTGTCAAAACTGTGAGACTGTATCGAGTGGGGTCTTGCAGGGGTCTGTCCTGGGTGTGGTACTATTCAATATGTTTGCTAGTGACTTGGATAATGGGTTGGAGAGTATGCTTATAAAACATGCAGATAACGCCAAGATGGGAGGCATTGCAAGAACTTTAGAGGACAGGATTAGAGTTCAAAATGACCCTGGCAAATTGGATAATTGTTCTGAAATCAACAAGATGAAATTCAATAAAGACAAGTGCAAAGTACTATACCTAGAAAGGACAAACCAAATGCACAAATGAAAAATGGGGAATAACTGGCTGGGTGGTAGTACTTCCAAAAAGAATCTGGGGGTTACAGTAGATTACAAATTGAATATGAGCCAACAATGTGATGCCATGAAAAGGAAGGCTAATGGGAGTTTTGTATCTAAGACATAGCAGGTAATTGTCCTGCTCTACTCAGCACAGTTGAGGCCTCAGTGCAGCATTGCATCAAGTTTTGGGGGCCACACTTGGAGAAAGATGTGGATTTTTTGAAGAGAGTCCAGAAGAGAGCAACAAAAATAATAAAAGGTTTAGAAAACCTGACCTATGAGAAAAGGTTAAAAATAATTGGCCATGGTGAGTCTTAAGAAAAGAAGAGTGAGAGGGGACCTGACAACAGTCTTCAAATATGTTAAGGACTGTTACAAAGAGGACGGTGATTAATGGTTCTGCATGTCCATGAAGATAGGACAAGAAGTAGTCAATTTAATCTGCAATAAAGGAGATTTAGGTTTGAGATTAGGAAAGGCTTTCTAACTATATGGACAGTTAAGTACTGGAACAGGTTATCAAGGGAGGCTGTGATCTTCTTGTCCCTGGAGGTTTTTGAGAACAAATTAGACAAACAACTGTCAGGGATGGTCTAGGTTTACTTGGTCCTGCCTCAGCAAGGGGCTGAACTAGGTGACCTCTTGAGGTCCCTTCTAATCCTACATTTCTATGATTCTATATGCATAACTTTACACACATGTCTAGTCCCACTGACTTCAGAGGGACTAATCACATGAATGCAGGTATTTGCAGGAATGGGAGCTTAGATTTAAGCTGCTTTGGACAGGGTTATTTTTTAAGAGTTATGTCCACCTAACTGCACTCTCTAAATAATTATTTTGACTTCAGAGTGAGAGGACTGAATCTCAGTATATCTGGGGCCTGAGTCTCCACTCCACGTACCCCCAGGACAGAATGAGTGTGATAGGGAGGTAGAATGTTGCTATGTCAGAATGATACTCTGTGACACCTGCTTTGCACAGGTGGACGTGACTGTGTCAGGTGCAGGCATTGGGGAATCAGGGCCCGTGGGACAGTGTTTGCACTGTTTCACATTAGTGTAGTAAATACAGCCCTCTACTCCCCACCATTTCCCAAACTCCCAAGATGGGGTTGCTTAGTCTGCATCTCTCCGGCATCATTTTTATCCACGGAAGAGAACAAAATTTCCCAAACCTTCGGGATGATGATCTTTGTCTCATGGGAAAGTTCTAGTTTTAAATTTAAAAACTGGGGCCTTTTCTTAACCTCTGGTTTGGTTTCTCAAACGGACGCTGTCAGGATAATCCTCTTTTTTTAATCATCAGGTTATTAAACTGGAAGAAGCCAAACACTCTTAAATTCTTCTTGCCAATGTACAAAAGTTTGTGTGACCTTGTCTATTCATTGGAGCTACTGTATTTTCTCCTCATGCTTCTCTGCCTGTACTTGTGTACATAACTGCACTCTTAGAAGAGACGACATATATTTCCCAGCCTGAAGGAGAAAGGGTTTTTAGTGTTATGATCCTAAAATGCCTTATAGGTTGTGCGCATGGGTCACTCCCCTACCAGGAAAATGCAGTCAGTTTGATGGTGGAACAGCTCTGGGCAGAAATCCCCATTTGTGTCACTCAAAATTGGGGTCATCCCCTTTTTCATTCGTTTGTGCTGCAGCTTCCAGTAACAGATTGCAAATTGGGCTGGTAGAAAATCTTCCATTGAAATGTCTTTGATGAAAATCTGGGTTTTGGGTGAAACTAGAGATTTTGTGTAAAGTGTCTATTTCCCTCCAAATTTTAGAATTTCAGCAAAAAAACAAAAAAGGTTACAGTTTTCAACAGGTATGGGGTGGGTTTTTTTGTTGTTTCCCCCCCACCACAAAAGTTGAAATTCTGCAGAGAAAGAATCCATTTTCCAACCAGCTGTATTTGCATACACAGTGTGAAACACTCCCTGGTACTTACACCACCTATGCAGCCTCATACAGCCCCAGTGCCACCTCACAATGTCTGACATGACAATGTTGCCTGGCTGTGTTGAATGCTAGGATGTGATAAAGACCCATTAACACATTTCCTGCATTAGAAATGGAAGTGAGTAATAACGTCTCCATTTGAATAACAGACGGAATTTCTGTGTGGTACACAATGTAAATAACCAAGCTGGAATTTGGCCAGGGCACTATGAAAAACATGTCTTACTCCTGTCAAAAGAATGCATGGGATTTTTAAAATATTATTAAAACTAGACCCAAGGGTGGCACGCAACCACGTGCCATGCATGAAGCAATAAATTGCTCCACACTTCTGGGGGTCTTGCTCTGTTAACACCACAATAGGGTCTGCCCCTCTTAATGATCCAAACCATGACTTCTAACCTTTAAAGATGAATGTGCGGGACCCAACATTCCTGTACTGCCTCAGAGACGAGTGTCCTGAGCCAAACCCTTCACCCGTTGTCAAAGCCACCTGGTTGTATCGCTCCACCAGTTGCAAACT